TTTATCCGTTTTTATAGTTGAAGGAATATATATATATATATATATATATATATATATATATTATCAAATATATTTAATTTGAAATTAAATGGCAAACTTTTTATGATGATGACCAAATGCTCTTTCGAAACGGCGGATAGCAAAATTATAATTAAGTTTTTTTATATATTTTTTATATACGTATATAGAAAATTTGATCGAATGATGACCGAAAGCATTTTTTACATTTTTTACTTTATATATTTTACACATTTATTTAACTTTACTTATAAAGATGATAAAATGGTCATTCAAAACGTCAGAAGCAATTAACAAGAATATAAAAAAAATTAAAATATTTCTCTTCGAATCTATAAATTAAAATGAACAAAACCAATCGCAAATCGTAAATGTAATTTAAGAATTGCAAATTTTGCAATGTCAGTTGCAATTTTCATTGCAACAGAAAAAATGTTTAATTGTAAGATCAATGTTAAATGTAAAAATAAATTAAAAAATATATGTATTAAAATAAATATTAGAAAACATATATTAAAATTAATTAAAAATAAATTAAAAATAAAATGTATAAATATAAAAAACAAAAATGTAAGATCAATGTAAAATGTAAATTATAAAATAAACAAAATTTTATATATAAATCACTTCGATTTGTGCTTTTTTTTACAAATTACTAAAAATTCATGCAAACTATAATTCTAAGAAAAAAGATATAACTTTTAATAAACTAAGAATAAACCTTGTTGCAACAGAAATAAAAATTTGCATAAAAATGAATTCATGGAGAAATAAAAATTTATGTAATATCGTTCGGCAGAAAGAATGACTCATAAAACCACAATGGGGAAAAAATTAAATATTTATATTATATATATATATATATATATATATATATATATATATATATATATATATATATATATATATATATATATAATACATATACTGCTTCTAAACGATTATTTATTTATTTATTTATTTATTTATTCATAAGCAAGCCGTAATCAATAATAATAGATATTATTTCAGGCTCTTGTCAAGCTTATTCATAGTTAATATTAAAAGGATAGTAATTTTATAAGTAGCTGCACTCACATTCGGATTGTGATAAATCTTTCTAAAGTTTGTTAAGGAAATTTTTTATGATGTATGTGATTATAAAAATATAGTAATATTGTAGAAAAAATGACAAAAATTGTAAAAAACGACATGTCATTGTTTGACATTGAAAATATTTTGACAAATGATAGCTGTCATCTGCCAGAGATTTCAATTCACTTATGAACCTAGACAATATTAGAATATAATAAATTCAATTCAGAAATTTCAATTCATTTACGAGCCTAGACAATATTAGAATAAATAAATTCATAATTTTGAATAAGGAAAATGAAATGTGTGAATGAATGTAAACGATAAATATTAGTATAGATTATTGAAAAAATGACAATATTAGAATAAATAAATTCATAATTATGAATAAGGAAAATGAAATGTGTGAATGAATGTAAACGATAAATATTAGTATAGATTATTGAAAAAATGACGTGGGTACAGGACAACATCTGTCGGGTCATTCAGTATATATATATATATATATATATATATATATATATAATTCTGTAATGATGTATAAACCTAAACGATTGTTCCGATTTTGATAAATCTTTCTGAAGTTTGTTAAGGAATTTTTTTAGGATTTATGCGATTATAAAAATATAGTAATATTGTAGAAAAAATGACAAAAATTGTAAAAAACGGCATGTCATTGTTTGACATTTAAAATATTTTGACAAATGAAAACTGTCATCTGCCAGAAATTTCAATTCACTTATGAGTCTAGAGACAATATTAAAATATAATAAATTCATGATTATGAATAAAAAAAAATGAAATGTGTTTAGGAATAATTTAACAAACAATAATTATTTTTAGGTAAACGGTAAATATTAGTATAAGATATTAAAAAGTTGTAGACATGGGTACAGGACAACGTCTGTCGGGTCATCTAGTATATATATTAGGATGGTCCTTAATATGGTCATTTTCGAATTTCCTTGTTCCCAAAGGCTAAAATGGTTCCAAATTGATAAAAAACAATTCGTTCAAAGTTTTATCTCTTAATATTGTTTTTTAGATAGTGCGCAATTCAATCAAAGTTTTGTATGAAAATAGCATAAATTTTTTTTAAAAAATTTTAATAATGTTTTTAGATATAATTTAGCGAACAAATGAATGAGTTTTATTCAAAATTTGTCGCTATATATATATATATATATATATATATATATATTATATATATATATATATATGATGAAAATGAATGATGAACACATCAAGTGTCGAAACGTATAATGGAATAAATAATTTTGTTATTTAATCTTTTTTAATTCGACTGTTGGGCTGCTAAAAAATTTACAAATATATATCTTATATATAAAATTCTTCTGTAACAATGTAAGTTTCATTAATCCTCCTAAACTATAATTCGGAATTTCATGAATCTTCCTGAAGTTTGTTCGGGAAATTTTCTAAAATGTTTTGATTCATAGAAATATATTTAGATTGTAGAAATGAATGGAAAAAATTACAAAAAACCGCTTATCATTGTTTGACCTTTAAAATATTTAAGGCATGGTTTGACATTAAAAACAAATGACAACTGTCATTTGCCAAACATTTCTATTCACTTATAGGCTAAGGCAATATTAAAATATAATAAATTCATGATTAAAAATAAAGAAAATGTAATGTCTACCTTATTATTGCCAAAAAGAAGCTGAGATGTGATGAAAATTAAAATAATATAAGATTTAGTATAAGATACAGTCAACATCTGACAGATGATGCAGTCTGCGCATGCGTCTCGCGCATAAAACTTAGCCTACAATTCACTTTGACTGATTATTATTTTTTAACTTTTAAATGCAGTCGTGTTTTGCCTTACTTTACTAAATCAAGATACAAAAATAATTTATTTATTCAAACAATTATTTAGAAGTTTCATTGTGTCTAAAATTCATATGTTTGGCATTGGATACGAAATACTTACTCAAGACAATGGAGCATTTTGGGTCTGAATATTTTTAATGTGCTTCAATTTGCAAGAAATTTTGGAATTAGGTTCATCTTACTCTCAAGTTTAAAAATAAAAATAATTTAGAATCATTTGCCACTTCCCGGGGGATGACATCTCTTTTCAGTGGTTCAATTGTATCTCTTTCAAACTAACGTCGGATATCGATAAAAGAACTAATTAGAATAGAAAAATGTTTAATAATGTTTTTCAAAAAAGAAATTACTTTTCAAGTTACTGGCTACTGAAAATTTGTAGTTTTTTGCGTTTTTCATCGTTTTTTGCAATTATTTCTAAAAATATACATTTAAACGAAAATCATGTAATGAACAAAATTATTTCAATCAAAATCCTAATAAATCGGTGTTCTATAAATTGTTCTAGGAACAATATTAGGCTAGATATGAAAATGGGGTTTTATAGTACTCAAAATAAATTTTAAAATTAGTACTTCTGCGTGTAAGATGAGTGAGCTATCATGCAGATAAAAGACGCATACAATATTTTTTTCGTTTAAAGCAAATAGTTTTTGAGTGCCATTTCCACCAAAATTAAAAATAATCGTATTCCCTCTGGAATCAACTTGGTTTAATAGATTTTGACGGGTTCTAGAAAATACCAGTGCAAAGGATTTCCAAAAAGCTCATGATTTCATGAAAAAAAATCTATTTAAAAAAATAAAAGATACGTATAAAGGTATATAAATGAAAATTTAAGGTCTTTTACTGACCAATTAATTGATACTTAATTTACTGACAAATATTGATAGTGTACAACCAGAGTGTCTTTCGAGTACTTCAATCCTTTGCCATTTTAAAATAAGAGAAGTTACGGTAAAATTTATGATAGAGAAAGTTGTAGCTCATTTAATTACCTTTAAAGTAGTGTATTGCAAGTATTGATAAAATCCGAATTAAAAGAGTTATAATTCAATTAATCCGATGGGTGGTGACGGAGTGCAAATTGTTTTTACTTCTGAACTTAAGATTAAGATTAGCCTATTTCCGACATACGGTTTTTTCCTCTCCATTTACTGCAATTTTGTTGATCGTAGATTGAATAGAGCACATGTGAACAGGATTTGACAAATTAATTCACTTCAAATATAAACTTAAGTAATAATGTATATAAATTTATTAGTGAGAAAAATGTAATTTAGATATAAAAATTACTAAAAGCCAGTTGAAATATGGTACAAATATATAAAAATTATAGGCAACATTATTGAAGCCATTATTTTGGGTAGAAAAAACCAATGTGATATTGTCCTTTACCGGGAATGCTATTTATTAATTCTTTCTGGATTTGTTATACCCTTTAAAAGACTTCAATTTTCAACACGTGTAAATTATGCTATAAATCACAAAGGCAGGCGATGATTTTTTGTGTGATACATTTGGAAAGTCAATTTTTAGTCGTGAATAAGCAAAAAATCATTCATTTTTACATCCACACCTACAAGTATGACTAAAAAATTGTATAACCCTTGACATTAAAATAAATTGAGCTATTGGAAATAAATTTGTGGTTTAAATTGCAGTGTTTAATTTTTATTATATAATTTTATTGAACATATTTCAATATTTGTTAAAGGGATAATTAAAGTGTTAACTGTAGGAATTGAGAATCATCATTTTATTTTAAGCAGCTCTACAGTCACTCATTTATTGATGTAAATAGTAATTCGAAAAACAATAATTATTAATTTTAACTGAACGGTAAATATTAGTACAGGATATTGAAAAAATGCAGAATTGGGTACAGGACAACGTCTGTCGGGTCATCTAGTATATATATATATATATATATATATATATATGCATATATTTAAATATATCCATGTATATTATTACCACCCGGTAACAGTATCAATATTGACACAAAGCCTTATCACTAATCAAACATAAGGACATTCTTTACGTACACTTCATCTTAACCACACTTCACTTGACATCCTTAAAAACCTGCTACCAACACTTTAATTAAAAAAGAACACTATCTCCATAACAACAACAACACTGCCAACACTCGAGAAAAAAAGTCTCTGCAAAAATTAACCACCAACTTTTTTAAAAATAAAATAAAACACGCCGGCGCAAATGAACTATCTATACGTGTTTACGCGTCGAGTGTTCGACGTCAACTGATCAAATGGGAGTGGTGGCGGTGGCAACGACACGACGGCGACGAAGCGCGGTGCTGACATCTGTGGTGAGGTTGACGAACTAGACAGGTTGATGGTCGACGATATTATAGTTTATTTGTCGTTTGTGTAGATACGATAGCCAATTTTAATGTAGAATTCCACAAGCAATAAATAGAAGTAGTGGTGTATGGCATCGTGCCTTAAAGCAAATTGCAGGAACTTCCCGTACCAACACGACTGCGACGAAACGCGGTGCTGACATCTGTGGTGAGGTTGACGAACTAGATAGGTTGATGGTCGACGATATTATAGTTTATTGGTCGTTTGTGTAGATAGCCAATTTTAATGTAGAACTCCACAAGCAATAAATACAACTAGTGGTTTATGGCATCGTGCCTTAAAGCAAATTGCTGGAACTTCCCGTACCGACACGACGGTGACGAAGCGCGGTGCTGACATCTGTGGTGAGGTTGACGAACTAGATGGGTTATTGGTCGTTTGTGTAGACAGCCAATTTTAATGTAGAATTCTTCAAACAAGTTCAATTAGTGGTGTATGGCATCGTGCCTTAAGGCAAATTGCTGAAACTTCCCGTACCGAAAACTATTTTTGAAGTAAAACTAGTTTAAAGTTAACTAGTTTTGAAGTAAAACGTGTAAGTTTATTGAAGTAATTTGTATTATTAGTAGTTACTATATATTTTTGAGGTTATTAAAATGAAAATTATTTTTACAGGCGGGACAGATGCTACAGCTGTTTCAAGAATGAGACTGTATCGCCAGCGAAATAGTAAAAAACACAAGCAGTCAATGAATGTATGTTAATTTTAATTACATGAATCTCTTCAAACACAATTACATGACGAGTGAAATTGTGAAAATAATATTTATTTAGGCGTTGTTTAACATAATAATTTTCTGCATTTTTATAGATATTAAAGCAGTACAGGTTTATTCTATCATGCCGAAGATCTCACAATTATATCTCAGACACTTTTAGTAGTTTAGAGGAAGTCTACATGTTTTTCGATCATGATGGCTATTAAGTATTACACAGTTGCATATTTTTAACAATAAAGAATAAATTGTCATTCAGATTTATTACTCTAAACAAGAGATCAAGCACAACAATAGTTTCTGTAGTTGTGTATCATTTATGTACAGATATACTTCATAACGGACATCTATGCAGTTTATTTATTGATGATGTTAATGAAATTATTCAAGATTGTTATAAGTTCACTGTGTGAACGAATATTATAGAATTTATTTATCGGCAAGTACTTCATTTCTCTAAGGTTCAAGTCCTAAATGCTAATTACAATGACAAACCGATCATGTCTGAAATGTGACTTTAATTACATTACTATTTTCAAACATTATCTATATTTTTAATACTATTATAAATATTTATTTTTATCATTTTTATTACATAAATATGTATAATGGTTGACATTAAAAAATGTGTGCATCTAGTGTTACCAAATTACCAATAAACATGATTTAAAATTGTTATATGACGTATTTATTTCACTTAATGCCATCTCATACAGAAGAGGCAAAAAAGTTTTACTTCAATCGCGTGTGAACCTTAAACGCTCTGTTTTTTTTTTTATTTTTTTTTTTAACTTTAAAAAAATTTGATTTTCAAGAACTTTGAAATTTTTGAATGAAAAAAAAAAACTTTTTGAAAAAAAATTTTTTTAATATCTTGAAATCTTTTAGAAATTTGTTTTTTTTTCAAGGCTGCATAGAGACGAAATATCGAAGCGCATAAGCGCCGCGTCGCAGTCTAACAGACAAACATTAATACGGAACCCATAGAAATGTAAACAAAATTTATACTTGTTATTAAAATCTCTATAAAATATCTGATATTTTGATGTGCAATGTCTAATGATCATGTTTGGCCGCCAAATGGCATTTTTTTTTACTTTTTTTTACTCAATCCCCGAAACCGCTAGACCTGCCTTCCCAAAAATTTAATCACTTCTTAATTTCGTCAATACAAGTAAAATGTTTTTTGATTTATTAAAACTGGGCGCTCCGTTCTCTTCAACACTGAGTTACCGTTTTTGGTACTTTTTGCCCCGTATCATCGGAACGGCTAGACCTGCCTTGTCCAAAAATTAATCAGCACGTCACCTTATCAATACGAATCGAATGTTTTTTAAATTATTCAAATCGATTGATCGGTGTTCCCGAAATCGTCGACAAGAATTTGTATCCGAACACACACACACATCCAGTTTTTCAAAGAATTCAATATTATTATTGGTCTCTACCTTGGAAAGGATTCGAGACTCCAAAAAAAAACAAAATAAGGAATTTTATATATAAGTTAATTCGAAACGGAAAACATGTCCTTACTAAGTAAAGTTAGGCAGTACTCTGCGGCGCGAGTTAACAGTTTCAATAAATTGCCCTAAGAAGTTATGTTTTAATTGTTTTAATCAGATTGGTTTATGTTTGTGTTGAGTCCATTGGAATGCTAGTTCGAATACAAAAATGTGTCAAAATATAGAAGACGATGTTGACGACACTAGATGAATGAGCGTCGCCGAAAACCGTCGAATACTTTTTGAATACTCTCGATTAACACTTTTTAACATGAAGAACATTAGGCTTAAAAGTCCATTATGTATTATAAGGTTTATGATTGAGTCATTCTGAATCGTTTGACCTAAAAATTCGAAAAAGGGATGAAGTCAATAGTCGACTCACCTAAAGAGCTTCTGGGTCAATTCTTATGAATGAGCAGATAATTAGCAGCGCAAAAATTATTAATATGATTAATAATATGATCATAAGTAATGAGTTATATTTCAATTTTTATATAGCATTATAAAAATATAAAAAAAATGGTAAAATAAAAAATGGTAAAATAGAAAATGATAAAATAAAAAGGTCTTCGGGTCGCCCAACCTAACCACTTGGTTTCAATAAAAATATAAGAAATCCTGTCCAGGAATATAACTATTATATAACATTTTCCCAAATTTTCACGGCGATCGGATGTATGGTATGTAAGAATAGAACATTCTTAAATTAAAAAATAACTAATTGTAAGTAGAATTTTGCCTTAAGACAAGTTGTATACAATTTCCGATATGTATATATAATTAAATTAATCAATAAGAATTGAGATTCAGATATGTAGGTAAAATTAGTTCAACTAATTATTTCGAAAAAAAATAGGTTTTCATTAAAAAATTAATTAGTGCGATTTCCAATTGACGTCTTATAAACATACTTATAAATTAAATCAATTTGGTTAACACATTTCATTTCAGTCTTTTCTTGTTCCGAAAATGTATTTTATTTCAAGTATGAACGTGAACTGTAATCAATAGCTACCAGCGAAGCATATGGTTCAGTATAGATTGTAATTAAAATCGATTGCAACGCGAAATTAAAAAAATGCAATGTGGGCACTAACCAAATAGCTGTCTACGCCATCCGCCCTGAATAATTTAGAGTGCAATACCATACTCTTTTGCACAAATCATGAATTTCATAACAGTTACGTTTGCGACACGTTACATTTACATATCTATCAGCATATGTAGTTTTTTTGCATAAAATGCAGTTCTTCTTCGCATATTTAAATGCAAACGGGATTTGCAACATGCACAAGAACGCACTCTATTTTTTATTTACGCATTTTATCGTCTGAAAAATAAGATAAGAGTCAGACATGCGTGAGAAATAATAATTCCGGACGCCATAAAAAGTAATTAAAGCGATTTGTGCTAAAGTGTCTTATTAATGAGATATAAATCATCCAGGGTGGGTGACGAGGAAGTCTCTTCTATTACTTCAATACAGCAATATCCATCGGCCTCTGACAATTATCAAACGCACATACTACAGATATACGCACCTATGTGTATTATTTTCAGAGATATTCCAAAATGATCAGGAGGTCTGGATTTGTAAAAATATTGTTACAAATAAACATAAATACTCAAATACACATACATACTTACATACTGCACGATTACACACCTTTATATGCATTATTTTCCAAAATCCAAAGTGATCAGGAAGTCTGGATATGTCAAGATATAAATAAACTCAAATAAGAGATCCTAATATACACATACTACAAATATATGCATCTGATAGATTATTTTCTGATATACTCCAAAATGATCAGGAGGTCTGGATATGTAAAAATATTGTTACAAATAAACAGAAAAATAAGATAAGCGTCGGACATGCGTGAGAAATGATAATTCCGGACGTCATAAAAAGTAATTAAAGCGATTTGTGCTAAAGATTAATGAGATATAAATCATCCAGGGTGGGTGACGAGGAAGTCTCTTCTATTACTTCAATACAGCAATATCCATCGGCCTCTGACAATTATTAAACTTGTCAAAAACATTAATAAAGTGTTTTCCCACGCTTTTCAAAAATCGCATAGATAACCAACCATCTAGGTGCGGTGCGATGTACCTGTCACTATTTTCCATTTACAGAATTCCTTTCATTTTTCCCGCGCCATTTCGCAAAACGGAATCAAATCTCGGACAGGAAATGCCGACCTGAAGACAGAAGAGAGAGGAAGGAAGAAGGGAGACAGAAGACTGAGAAAAAGACAGAATTATGAATGATGAAAGAGAATGAAACGGAAGAAGATGAGGAATAAAAAGACGGAAAGGGGAAGGAAGAACGGTGACAGAGATAAGAAGAAAAAAGAAAAGAAGATAAAAAGGAAATAGAAAAAGAGATAAAGCGAAACGGAAGAAGAAGGAAAACGGAATAAACGAGTGAGGAAAGAGGAAGAAACAAGGGTAACAGAGAAAAAAAGATAATAAGGAATTAGAAGGAAAGAGAAAGAAACATAAGCAGAAGTAGAAGAAGATCGTAGAAGAAATCTCGGACAGGAAATGCCGACCTGAAGACAGAAGAGAGAGGAAGGAAGAACGGTGATAGAGATAAGAAGAAAGAAGAAAAGAAG